CCCGGGGCGCGGCGAGGAACCGTTCCCTGGAGCCTTCAGGCCTCTTCCTCTGCGCGGGAGCAGGCGGTGAGGCGGAGGTTGCCGCCGCCGTGGCGCCCGGCCCGTAGGGACAGGCTGTCAGGGTGCTGCTTTTGGGCTCCCGCCCAGAGCTGCGTGATGAGAGCCCCATGGAAGCGGAAAGCAACTCCAGCCTCAGCCGGGACTCCCTGGTCAGTCTCACGGCGGGCGACGTGCTCATTCACTCCACGGGTGTCCGCAGGGACAGTTCACAGCTCATTGAAGGTGTGACAGGAGCTGGTGGCCGTATGAAAAAAGTGGCGATCGCTGTCAAGAAGCTGCGTGAAGGTGTTTCTCCCTGCCAGGCAGCTGACGCGGCTTTGGCTGGAGCCGGAGCCCCCTGCGTGCCTCCAGCCTCGGTAGCAAACAGGGCTCCCTGTAGGGGAGCACCCCACGGCCCCCCCCGCGGCGCGGCACCAGGTGCGTGATTTCCCGGGAGTGTTCCCTTAGGTTTGAGGTAAAATCGGCGTGTCATATTTTCAGTCATGTATTAGTTTCGTAAATAAGGACTTGTTGTATTCTGGTACTGCAAATGTCAGCGCTCTTTCAGAAGTTGTCTGTGTTTATTTGTTTTCCCAAACTGTGTTTTGCACATGAAAAGCGAGTTGTGCAGGAGGAGGTGGTCAGTCAGAGCCCCGTTAACAGAGCTCCAGCCCTGACTCCAGATTCCTAGTCCTTAATTAACAGGCAGTAATCATCCTGTGTCAGAAAAATCATGTCTGTCATTGTGACATTTCTCAAATACACTGGGCAGGAATGTTTTAGGCAGAATCAGAGGATAAAACAGTGTACACGTGCAGGGACCTAAACAACAAAGTTAACAAGATTGATGCCTTTCCAGTCCGTCACAGTTTTTAATGCGCTTTGTAGCTCATCTTTTTAGACACCATAAGTATCTCTTCAATTTTATTAATTAACCCAAGGTATAGTCAGCAAGCAAATCTGTGCCTAACGGGTATTGCTCTTGCCAACAGAGAGCTCTGAGTAGTCCCGGTATTTGGGCTTTCTTTGGGTTTTCATGGAATTTTGTGAATTATTTCATGGTTTTATACTGGAAGAGTGATCAGAAGTCTTTTAAACACTTCTCTTTCTCTGCTTCTTTAAAGATGATTTTTTTTTTTTTTTCTGGAGAGCTTGAGTTAGCAGATGTTCAAGCTATAGCTGTACAGTCTTTGCCTTTTTAAAGGAATGTTTATTGGAGACTTGAAAGGTAATAGGTATTAAATATTGGAAGCTGGCATTCTGAGGCAGTCATGCAGCTCTATTTTTAATTAGCAGTTTTTGCAGGTTTTATCAAACAGTTTCAGAGCTGGTCAGTTAAACAACTGTTCAAAAAACTCTTAGAAAAAAACAACTTTCCCTGCTATCTACCATAATTTTAAAGTTTTACATGTTAAAATTATTTTTCTTCCCTTGTAGTCTTGGAAACCAAATGAACAAACTAACCCTACCTCTCCTAAACCCCACCTGCTTGACACAAAAAAAAAAGTGTTCTGGTGAGCTGCCTCTACCAATGAAGCTCACATAGATGAATAAACAGAATTTAAAAAAAAAAGATTACATCCTCTTCTGTGACTTTTTAAAAAAACTGTCTGTAGTAGTATTAAGTAAATAATTTTAAGTCTTTTTTTTAACAGAATGAGACCATAGTGATGATGTACCATGTACTCTTCAAATTCAAAACTGATGCAATCTGTGCTACTTGTCAGAATATTCTTTTTGTTTCTTTAAAATACATACCAATTACAGTCTTTGGAGTTTGGGGAAGGGATTTTAGTTTTTTTTTGGGGTCAAGGCTCAAACAGCTTCAAAAGATGTTATTTTTCTTGTGGTAGTCTCTGACATAATTAAAATGTGTACTGTCCTCAGTGTCCTTCTTCTTTAAGATATGTTCTCGTATAATTATTATTGTCTCTGTAGAGAAGTAACTTTCTATGTCCCTATGATCTTTAGACTTGAATTTGAGCTGGACATTTAATTTTTTTAATTCTCTGTTTTACAGAGACTTTTTCATATCTTGTAAAACAAGTCTATAATCCAGGTTCACAGAATTCATTAAGGTTTGTAAGATTCAGCTTGATGACTGTGGTAATTTGTGTTATGAAAGTCATTATGTTTAGATATTCAAAAATACAGGCAGAGGAAATGCTGAGATTTGGGTTAGTCAAGATATACCAAAAATGCATAACAAATCATTATGACCACAGTAAAACTGCTTTTATTTTAGGAATCCCAAGTACTAAAGGACATCCAGAACGTCAGCTGTCAGTAGAAAATTCTACGGAACCCATGTTTTTATCACAAATGGTAAGAAGAGTTACTGGTGCTTCTTGCAATTCCTAACTAAGAGAACCACATTTCTCTCAAGAAGTTGTAGTTTCTGTAAAAGCATAGCAGATTTTCAGCTCAGCTTCTGCACAATAACTGTGCATCTGCTTTCCTCTTTGAGTTGCTGCTAATGTGATATTAGTGCTGAGGTGTTTGGAGGGGCTTTGTTTACTGTGCTGTTACCTGTTGCATAGTTAGTACCAAGGCTTGTTTTTAAATTTTAGTGAAATTCTTACCTTTAAAAGGCAGTTACACATGGCACAATACTTGTTAAAAGTCCTAAAACTTTTTATATTTTTTTTTTCTCATCATAGACTATGAAATAGACATTAGTTTACATGGAACTCTGTAATATAATACTTACAATTCAAAGGCTTGTTTCCTTTTGGTTTGTTTGTTGTGCCTTACATAGAGTGGAAACTTAGGTCTAGGGCACGCAAAGATAAAATTAACCTATGCTGTGAAAGTATTGCAGCAATGTCTCTGCATGGCTCAAAGTAGACCTAGTGAGCTGAATAAAAGTCTCAAAAGTATGGTGGAGTACTCCACTGTCAAACAAACTTAAGGAAGGGATTTTTGACTTCCTAACTTGCCTTTATGACTCCTCGTAGACATTGATTATTCATGGATTCCACTTCAAGAAAATTCAGGTGTGTCCCTTTGGTTTCACAGTCAGTGTTCTTAGTGCTCAATTCTGTGTTCACGGGTAGTCCTGAATTGTTTGAGATTAGCTCCTTGTGCCAACTTAAACACATGTAGTTTCACTGCTACTTTCTTGGCCATAAATGAGAATACACTTAATCAACACTTAGAGTGTATACTGTTAATTTGAATTGTGTTTCTAGGGTTTTTGTCCCTAAAATGCCATGTAAGTTCTTGACTACGAGGTCCAGATGTTTCTGAGGTAGAGATCTTAACATGTTTTGTTCCAGATAGTCCTTGTGTTAGCGTGTGGAGAGGCGTACATTTGTATATGCAGCAATTCCATCTACTTCTAAAATTTTGGCCAGTG